AAGCATTAGCTAAGCCCCCCCAACCCCAGAAAGCAACATGACCTCCTGTTTATAAGTGAGCGATTCCACTGGCAGCCGTTTATATGTCTCTCCCCCTGTGGGAGTGTGCTTGCTGGCAGCTTAGATGAAGGAATCGTACTGGACGGTGTAGGCTTGACGGTGGTAGAGTTCGCCTACTAGATCTGACGACCCAGCAATTTCTTAAGCGGAGTTGCCGTTTTAAATTCACTTAGCAATTATTGTAATAATAGTATTTTATGAAAGGTGTTTTTCAGGAGGCTAAGAACCTTTGTAATCAGCAGTTTTAGGAGTATGTGGTTTAGGAACTTTATGCTAGTGATTGAATATATTTCCTGTGTATACAGAGTGGATTACTACTCAGCCATAAAGAAGGATAGATTTATTTGTAGGAAAATGATGGATCTTGAGGCTATAATGTAAGTGAAATGAATCAGATACAGAAGGTGAAATATTATGGTTTCTCTTATATGAGAAATCCAAAATATAAGTAATTTAAACAGAAAAATAATAGAGATGATAGGAAGTAGGCAGGTAAATTTTGCCGAGATGGGAAGGGGAACCAGAGAGGAGGCGGGCATTAAAAAAGATTAAAATGTGATCCTTGTATGTACCAATTCCCAAAGATGAATATAACTTTATGTATTGCAAACATACACAGATAATAAAAATTTTTTAAAAAGAAAAGGTAGGCATAAAAGGGTGCTTTGAGTTTTGGTTTCTTTGCACTTTTTTTTGCCCCCACCCTCTCTTTTGGAGAGAGAGGTATTTCCATCTGTTAACTTTAAAACATGGCTCGGACTCCTTAGCTGGAATTAAAGCAGGAACCATAGGTTTCTGGGTTTAGAAACAGTAAGACCAACACAACACATTAAGAAATTGTCTCTACTCAAGATCACAGCTTATTTTTGGTAAATTTGGTTGGAGGCGATATTATTTTCTAGTCTGCAAAAGAAATTATCATTTCACCTTAAAATAAATCCTAGTGCATTAATATCAAATTTCTTCCCCAATTCTCTCCTGACTCCCCAAGACACCTTTAACTTGATTCCTCAGAACTCTTATTTCTCCTGATTCGTAGCACTATAATAAAATTAGAATTTGATTTAAGAATTGATTAGTAAGACTGGCTGAACTCCATTCCCCTGCTCTCAAGATGAGTAGTGGCCTTGGCTGACATCAGCAAACTGCTGAGGATGTTTGGAAAAGTTTTAGTATTTGTAGCTTTAAATAAGGAAAATATAGCGGCTTTGTGAAAGTGTTAGTCAAATAATGAACATGTGGTATTTGAGGAAAATAAAATACAAAATAGTTATTGACTTGTTAATAGCTATTGTTAGTTAGAATAGTAACTTACTAATAGTTACTTATTAGTAGTTACTGGTTAATAGTTACTTGTTAATAGTTGATAGTTACTGACTTGTTAATTTACCCGTATTTGCTGTATGCACACTTCAAAATTGTAGAAGTCATTTGGCTGCAACTTAGAAAATATTGATAAATATGAGGATGGTCCAAAAATGTTTCCATAGTGTCAGCACTTGAGCCTTAAGTATAAATAGTAAAATCACATTTTGAGAGCCAGATGTGGTGAATGGCTGAGGCAGGAGGATTACTTTGAATTCAAGGCCATCTTAGACTGCATAGTGAGTTCGAGGCCAGCCTGAACTATATAGCAAGACCTTGTCTCAAAAATCCTCCCATCACTTTTAAGTAGTAATTGTAACTTGAAGGTTTTATATGAAGATTGTCACTACTTGTAAAATATTTGCTCTTTTCTAGGTAGCTATTTTTGCTATGATAATCCTGCAGCCCTTCAATCTCAGGTTCAAAGGGTAAGTTACTCTTTCACCTTTGTGTTTTTGTTTGCTTTGAAGCAGCTGTAACTGCTGAGTCTGAAATGCACGCTGAATCCATTTTAACATCCTTAGTTACCAAATGCCAAGCTGAAAGGATTGTACATAAATTGTATTGAGTTGCCTTAAAACATTCACTTCTTACAGCACTTCTGTGACTTGAAATTTTTTTATACCTTAGATAAATAATTATGTGCTGTTTCCTTATTTCTAACAAAGTATAGTTTCGTTTGAATTTTGTTTCTCTTTTCTTAATCATATCAATGACAGACTATTTTATGGGATAGCTTTTTACCTTCTGAATATGTTGCTATTTTGTTTTTTTAAAAAATGTGGACACTGCTGAATATTGAGCATTACAGTATTCTTTGGTGTTGAATTGTAGAAATGTATTTGTTACTTATAGTTTTTTGGATTTATATCACTTTTTTTTGGTAAGTTTTTACCTTTGAGCAGGGAAAAATGCATAGAGTGGTTCTTTGCACTCTTGAATGAAAGAGTAAAGTATGAGTTGGCAGGTAGAGCGGGACGGTGGAAAAGGATAGGCTAAGAGAGTTTTCTTTGTATTTGAGAGAAATTCCCCAGTGCAGGGAGGAATGTGAGAGTAAGAATATAGAAAATATAAAAGGTCCAGTGCCCCTGCTGGAATGTCTGATCCTGGAGTCTGCAAAGGCCCTGAAATGGGGTGTGCATGCAAGAAGCTCCCACGTGTGACCTTTTTTCTGGGGCAGAGGCACTCTAGCTTTTTTGAGATTCTCAAGGAAGTGACTTAACAAATGGTTAAGAAACTTGCCCTGCAATAGAAAGAAAAATATAACCACTTCTATTTTAGATTGTAATATTTTGATTTGTTAGTGGGTAAATCTGTTTGGAAAAATAGTTCTATTTTTTTCCCATATAGGATATGAAGGTGAACACCACAAAATTCATGCTGCTGTATGCCTGGTATTCTTGGCCCAATGTAGTTTTGTGTTTCTTGGGTGGCTTTCTGATAGACCGAGTGTTTGGAATACGGTAAGGTTAAAAAAAAAAATCACCTATGGGTAAATCTCACCTGGTTATTAGAAAAATGGGGCTAAAGTATTTCTAGGAAGAACTGTGTAGACTGGTATATTAAAACTGGAATTGGTTTTTGAATTGGTTGGTATATTAGTGAAGATCAGACTAGCAAGTGCTGTTGATGGAGTAAAGTAACTTGCTTACCTGGAGCTGATAAATTATGCTTTCCATGTGAGCAGACGAACCAGGGTCTGAATCTCCTTGCTGCTACTTACTCAACTTCCTAACCGTTCTGTTTGTAACTTCCTGTGCTTGTTTTCTCAATCCTAAAGTGGATAATAATTCCTAGCTTATAAGTTGGTCTGAGGATTAAATGAAAGGTGGATGTATAGTATTTGGCATATAAATAGTGTGTGTTTTCCTCAGCCCCGGTAAGATCTTCTGTTTCTACCTTCATCCATTCAACTTTTTATGACCACTTGTATTAGATACTGAGGAAGGAATAATACTACAGTGGAAGGCTTTGTCACTTCATCCTTACATGTATATTGTTAGTGAAGACTTAGCAACCAACTGTAAATACATTATTGAAGTGTATTCAAACCATGTCTAATGGATAAGAATTGAAGTAACTTCAGTGTTTAGATTTGGAGGCTAATTTTCAAAATTTTGTAGGTTAGAGTATGAAAAACGAGTTAAATATATTTTATTTGGTCTCAGCTGTCCTGAACCATAGTGAATTTTCTAGTGCTGGACAACATTCAGTAGAGCATGGTATGATCATTTCACAAGGATTTTTTTTTTTTTTTCCTTCGTTTTTCTTCCGGTACCAGGAATCGAACTCACGACCTTGTACTTGCCAGGCAGGCGCTTTGCCGCTGAGCTAAATCCCCAGCCCCTTCACAAGGATTTTGAAAGGGATTTAAGTTTCAGAAACAATTTACTCGGTTGACCTTTAAGCACTCTCGTAACACTGCCTTTTCATTGCTCTGGAGAAACATTAATTGATACTCAGACTACAATGTTGGACTTTTAATTATATTAACATAGTATTTGTCCTTTTAAAAGTCGTTTTTAGTTTATTAAGAATTATATCCTTTTAGAATTACTACTGTAGGAATTTCTTGGAATCAATCCTAAATTCTTAATAGAAATTTTATAAAGAATTTTCATTTTTAAAATAGTTTTGACCCTGGGAACTTTTTGAAGATTATTTAATAAATTTTAAGGGATGATGATGTCTTAAACTAATATGCACCCTTATTGAAGCTGCTGGAATTCCCTTAGAAGTCTAGGCTTCCGTAAATGACCAGCCAGCTAAGAAAAGTTGCTGATTTCAGAGGCACATGAGTGCTTAATTTTTCTTTACCTGGAGAGAATGAAGTGGGCAAATAAAACCAAAATGAATTATTAATAAAGGGCTCTTTCTTTCTTTCTCAAACAGATGGGGCGCAATTATTTTTACCTGCTTTGTTTGTGTTGGTCAGGTAAGAAAGACCAAAACATTGATTATTTGACAGTGACTTTTGCATTCTTGTCTAATCAATTCCAATGGCAAAAATGTGTGTAGTGAATGCATAGCTTAATTAACCAGGATTCATAAATGCTCTTGAGGGCCAATATAGTACATCTTAAGCTTTGAAATATGTGTATATTACCATTTTAATTTCACAGATTGCAGAGGATTAATAAAACTATTCTAGGAGTTACGATTTATCCTAAGTTACTTATTGTTTCTCTTGAATTTGTTGAATTTATTCTTTCATCAATTCTATATTAAATTTGGTGTTACAGGTTATTTTTGCTCTCGGTGGAATATTTAATGCTTTTTGGCTGATGGAATTGGGAAGGTTTGTCTTTGGGTAAGCTATGCATGATTTCATTTATTTTAACATGTTTTTAAGGATTTATCTTATTTTATATATATTTTTTGATGCTAGGGATTAAACTCAGGACCTTACACATTCTGAACCTGTGATCTACCATTGAACTACCCTGCTCAGCCCCCATTAAGGATTTTTGAAAACCGTTATCTTTCTTAGTAGGTGATGTGCAGATCCTTTTGGTCACTGTTGAACAGTTGAAGGGAAGGAGCATAGTACCGCTATGCTGACCTCTCTGTTTGAAGTCCAGCCTTGGGCTTCCTTCCCTGAAGGAGATAGCTGACAGGAACTTATTTTATGTCTACCTTAAAAATATACTTTACCAGGCAGGATGCCTCCTGCCTGTACTTCCAGTTACGTGAGAGGCTGAGGCAGGAGGATCACGAGTTCAAAGAGAGCCTGGGCAACTTATCAAGACTTTGTCTCAAATTAAAGTAAAAAAGGGTAAGGAATGTAGCTCAGTGGTAGAGCCCTTGCCTGCCATGCATGGATAAGTTATTCAGGCTTTTCATGTAGACTTATGTGACCTACACAGAGATGTGCTCTGTGTGAGGGAGAAGGAAGCACAGTGCGGGAACAGCGTGCAGGGGGCCAGAGACTGAACTGTGGGAAGGGGAGACCTCGTGGGTGAGGTGGGCCATCGAAAGTATGGGATTTGGATTAATAGAGAAGGAAAATATTTTTGGACCAGGACATAGTGGTGAAGACAGTTAATTCTTAGGAGATGGAGGAGACTAAGTGCCTGACTACAGGCCTGCAGAGGAAAGTGGTTCATTATGTGGAGCTTAGCTGAGGAAAAGTAAAACCCAGGAGATAGCAAAATGATGAATATGGAAAGTGAACGAACTCAGGGTTGGTTGATGGAAAGCTTTCGATAGTGACCTCAAAAGTGTGAGTTTTTGTATTTTTACAAAGTGTGGACTCTCTGTCCATCAATTTTTTGTATAGGTTAAATGGTGATAAAGTAATCCGGACTTCTTTTATTGCCTGTCAAGGTTATTGCAGTAAAATTACTCGAAACACTTTTCAATATAAAATAATCGTTTCATTATGCCGGTGGGCTGTGTGGGTCAGAAATTTGGATCTGGGACAGTATGGACAGCTGGTTTGTGCCCTGATGTCTAGGGCTTAGCTGGGAAGATTCCTGCACGGCTGGGACCTGGAGTGGTCTGGAAGTTTGTTGGCCAGCACATTTGGCAGTTGGGCTAGGATGCCTTGAAGACCAGCACTGATGACTGGAGCACTTAAAGGCGGCCTGGGTGTGGCTCGCTTTCTCATAGCCTGGGGTAGCTGGCTTGACAGTCGGCTTAGGGCTCCAAGCATGAGTGTTGGTGTGAAAAAAAGCAGGCGCCATCTTTAATACCCAGTCCTGGGATCGCACAGTGTTACTCTGCCGTAAGACTGTGGTGTATTCCGTGGTTCTTCTGTTGGCTGGAGCAGCACAGACGCACAGATTCACAGAGACGCCCTGCCTCTCGACAGGAGGAGTGTCAGAATTGCTAGCTGTAGTGTATCTTCAAAAACTGACTTTTCTTCCTTTTACTGTTTTTAGGATTGGTGGAGAGTCCTTAGCAGTTGCCCAGAATACATATGCTGTGAGTTGGTTTAAAGGCAAAGAATTAAACCTGGTGTTTGGACTCCAGCTCAGCATGGCTCGAATTGTAAGTGTGGTGACAGAGCTAATGAGGCCAAACCGGAAGCAACAGGCTGAATTCTGTAGTTTCTGTCAGCGTGGGCACGCTCAGATGTGACAGATTACTGATTTTTACGTATTACTCTGTGATGTATTGGCTTAATTTTCAGTAAGGCGTTTCTTTCCGTATTTTAGTTAATAAATAGTCTAAAATAACAACGCGAACATTTATTCGTTCAAAGAATCTGAGCGTGGGCTGTCAGGTTCTTACCTGTTTTTGGCACGCTTGCTCTGAAGCCCTCGTGTGGCCACCTGGGTTCTGCTTGCCCATTCCTCGTGACGAGACGCTTTAGGAAACTCACCCTCAGGGAGAGGTGAAGCCTCCTTCACAAGTGGCTTTTACTGATCCTAATCCCTTTTCCTCTTGTTTATTTTTGCCTCCTCTGCTATGCAACAACATAATGCTTGCTTGAAGACGTTCCTGTAGTTCTTTTTTTTTTTGATTTTTCTCCGGTACCGGGAACCAAACTCACAACCTTGTGCTTGCCAGGCAGGCGCTTTTGCCGCTGAGCTAAATCCCCAGCCCCACGTTCCTGTAGTTCTTGATCAGAAGTTGATTACCTGTGGTTGTCTAAGCCGTATCACATGCAGTCTGCCCCTGCACCGTGGTGCTCAGGCCTCTCTGGACTTACCTCAGTTAGCCAGTATTCCTGGGGTTTGGAGCCTAGAAATGACTGTGGCTTTTTGTTTTGTTTATAAAGGATACCCAGGGGAATACTAGGGGTCAGTGTTACATTTTTAGTACTGCATCTTGTAAGGTATTTTGGCAGTCCTGTTAGGTATTTTCCTCATCGAGTCCTATATAAGAAAATTTAAAAAATAGTCTTTGCTTTAGAAAAATATCAAGCTTTCAGAGACTAACAATGACATGAAGAATTAACATACCCTTAGGGAAGAAGAAATCCAGTATAAAACTTTCGTGATGTAGCATTTTATCATGTGAGTATTTCTGTGGTTTGTACATGTAGGTTCTAATTTTTCAGTATTATAAATAATGGTATAGTTTGACACTCTTGCTATAAGACTTACCTGTTTCTCTGATTGTTTTCGTAGGGAAGGTGGCCAGAAGTGGGAATTACTGGGTCAGAAGGTTTATTGGGGTTTCTGAGGGCTGCTGAGACCTATTTCCCGTTCTGTCCACGGGACATGAAAGGATACTTTTTATTATAACTTTGGTACTACAGGCTATTAATATTTTTTTAAAAAAGCATTTTATCACTTTAAAAGGAAACACATAAAAAGTATTTTAATTTGTAATTCTTTGAACTAGTGTAGTTTTCTAAATTTTTCTACAAGAATATTCTGAGATGCTTCCTTATGTGTCTTATGCAAGTTAAGGTGTTTGTGGAGTTTGTGGATCTAGTTGTCTGATAACTTTGGAAAGAACAAAATGTTTTTGTTTTGTTTTGTTTTTTTTCCGGTACCAGGAATCGAACTCACGACCTCGTTCTTGGCAGGCAGGCGCTGTGCCACTGAGCTAAATCCTCAGCCCCTGAAAGAACAAAATGAGATGAGCTGATCAGCAGTCCCTGTTAGGGACCTCACTGTGGTTACTAAATTTTCTCAGGCTCTTTTCTTATAATCCATTAACTGCATTGAGGCACTCTAAACTTCTAGAGGGGAGTTGTGGGAGTTTCTGGGGTGGAGGGGGAGAGTTGTGGGGGTCAAGGGGAGACTGGAGGAAGGGGCTGAGCGGATCCCAAGCACTCCCTCTGCTTCAGCCAGGGTACATGTAGACCTAGTGTGTTTAAGGTCTGGGTAAGATGATGTCAAGTGAAAGGGTTTGTGATCTCAAAGTGTGAGAGCCGTTCTCTTACAGAGATAGCTTAGCAAGGACTCACTACTTGAGAAATTCGTGCTTGTTGAAATTGCATCCTTCTGTGCTTCTCCTTTTTCCTCAGCACCGCTAGAATGATTGGAGGTGTTTGGGATGTACGTTTCCATGGTTTTCCTGGTATCTGAGCTGTGAGCCTGTTTGAGTTAAGACATGGGAACTGTTACTATATGGTAACACCCTTGGGCAGTGAACTTCCCACTTTTCTTGTTATTCATGTCTTAGCTGGGGATGGGAGGTCTAGCATTCTTTCGATTTTCTTCTCCAGTTTGTTAATTTTAAGCTTATGGAAATGTCCATAAGCAAGAACTTACGCAACTTTTTAAGCCAGGCCATGTTAGATATTTAAGACTTAAAAGATTATTAAGGCAGCATCCCTGTTTTTGAGGATCTTGTATTTTCAGTGATACTGGAGAAAGTTTTCAAAAGGTCATTTATTTTATTTCATTTTGTAAAAAAAAAAATCCATGTAATATTTGCTGTGAGAATATTGTTGGGGACAGGATTATTTATCAGTGTTCTGTAGCAGCTGACAGTATCAGTAGCATTGAATACAGCTGGCATTCCCTCCTGCCTAGTTTCTTGTTTCAGGACAGTCTTACAGTCTTTCTCTGACTTTTCTGTCCACCTCTTCTCTCCCTCTTTTGGTGATTCCTTCGCACTCCTCTCAACCTATAAATGTTGGAGTACCCCAAGGCATGACTTTGGATATCTTTTTCTTTGTATCCTCACAGCCATGGTGATCTTGTCTAGTTTTGAAGTTTTAAACAGCATTGCCGTGCTCCTGAATCTGTGTCACTGGTCTGAGCCTTTCCCCTGAATTTTACATCCATATAGGCAACCACCTACGTGACGCTTCTACTTCTCTGACTCATAGGCCTAGAAAACCAAACATATCCCAACCCCAGCTCTTCATATTCTACTTAGTGTCCCCTAAACCAGCTGCTGCTATAGCTTGCTTTCCCTCCCTCCCTTCTTCCCTTCCTCCCTCCCTACCTTCCTTCCCTCCCTTCCTTCCCTCCCTCCTTTCCTTCCTTCTTTGGTAGAAAGGTTTATTTAGCTCACAGTTTGTAGAGGTTTCAGTCCATAATCAGCTGTCTCCAGGGCAGAGTGGCACTGCATAGGGGCAGCTGTTCATGGAGGGCAGAAAGTAGCAAAGCAGGCACAGGTGAGTTTCTTATCCTCAGTTAAGGGTAGCTTTTTTCTTAACCATGGTTTAGGCAGAGACTTTGGTGTCATGTGGAGCTCGACTTCGTTCCCCATCCCCACACATATTTTTCCTTAGCAGATCCTGTTAGCTGTACCGTCAGAATATGTTTGTATCTGATCATGTTTAGCCACGCCTACTGCTAACCACCCTGGTCCAGACCCATCACTTTTGTGCGGAGTCACTGGAGCTCCCTGATGGTGCCCTTGCTTCTCGTCTGCCGCTATCTGTGGTCCCTGTTGAATATAGAAGCTGGACAAGGTTGTCAAAGAGTACTTTGATTGTGCCACTTTCCTGCTGAAAGCCCCAATGGTGCTCTGTTGTAGTCAGGTGTCATGGTTTGGGGCTTATTTGCAAGGGGAAAAATACATAATAAGGACACATATTTTATAAGATTATTTATAATAGTCACCCAAAGAATGATATACAAGAGAGTGCAGGAAATCTGTCCACATACTAAGACCAAGGAACCCAGCTGAGGGCCTGGATCCCATGGAAATGTCCTGCATGAGTCCAGCTGAAGACCTAGAGCTCATAACAATGCCTCCCATGAGTCCACGTGGAGGCCTGGAACCCATAATAATATCTCATGCAGGCCTGTTTCACAGCTCTGTGCTGGGAAGGCCTAAAGGTCACTGGTGGAATCTAGAAAGTCTGTGCCAGCAGGCTGAGGGATCTGCACTGGAGCCAGGAAGCAATGCTCAGAAGAACCAGAGCTACCCTGAAAGGTACCATAGCCATCCTCAGCAACAGTGAGGTCCCAGTTTCCTCTGATGATCAAGATGGCCAAGTTCCCATCAGGGAAGCCAATGCAGCAAGCTTTCCAGGAGACCAGCAGTGCACCATCTTCTGCTCCAAAGCTAGGAAGTGATGCTCAAAGTGAGGACCCAGAGCTCCCCCAAAGTGAATCAAAGCCATTCTCAGTGCCAGTGAGGTCCCGAGCTCCTCAGAGGGTGAAAACAGCCAAGTTCATCAGGAAAGCCAGCATGATGAGCTCCTCCAGAACAACCAACAACTCCTTACAGCTTCTACCAGCTCCCAACAGCCTCTCTCAGCTCCTAACAGCCTTTCTCTGCTCCCAATAGCCTAACTTCTTCTCCAGTTCTGCGTCTTACACTTCTGGCAACAGTCCTCAGGTGGGCCTCCCATACCCAGCACTACGCTTACTCAGTTCAGCTGGGGTTATAAGTTGACCACCAGTTGTCAATCCACTACGTCAGGGTTTACAAGGGAAACAGTACAGGACACATAATTTATAGGATTACTTTGTAATAGTTACCCAAAGAGTTAAGTACAAAAGAGGACAGGAAATCTGTCCACACACTAAAGACCCAAAGACTCCAGCTGAGGGTCTGGATGCCGTGGCAATGTCCAGCTTGAGTCCAGCTGAAGACCTAGAGCCTATAACAATGCCCTCCACCAGTCCAGCTGGAGGCGTAGCGCTCACAACAATGTCTCATGCAAGTCTGTTTCATGGGTCTGTGCTGAGAAGGCCCCAAGGTCAGTGGTGGAAGCTAGAAAGTCTGTGCCAGTGGGAAAAAGGATCTGTGCCAACAGACTGAGGGATCTACACTGGAGCCAGGAAGTGATGCCAGAGTAAAGACCAGAGCTCCACGGAAAGGGACCACAGCCGTTGTGAAACACAACAAGATCCTGAGCTCCTCCACCAGTGAGAACAGCTGGATCTATACCAGGGAAGCTGTCACGATAAGCTTCTGCACAACATTGAACAGGGCACCATCTTCCCCCGCACGGCCAGGAAGGGATGCTCAAAGTAAGGACCAGAGCTCTCCCAAAGTGAACCGTAGCCATTCTCAGCGACAAGGTCCTGAGCTCTTTGGAGGATGAGAACAGCTGAGTTCGGTGTTACAAGTTGACCACCAGTTGCTAATCCACCATATGCTCTCATACAGAAAAAAACCAAAAGTCTTTATTGCCCCCTTGAAGCTCCTCTCCTGACCAGTCTGTGTGGGGATCTCATCTTTCCCTCTTTTCATGTACCAGTCCCAGTCCCTGACGCCCTTCTCAGCCTCCTCACATGCAGACAGGCAACCCCTCAGGCCAGTGTGCAGACTGCGGTCTGCCTGCTACAGTTCCCCAGACATCCTGCCATCTCCCTTCTTTCAAGTTTTTACTCCGGAATCATATTCTCAGTGAGGCCTCCTCTCCCAGTGTTATATTCTTCTACCCTTGTTTATGCTTTTCCTTGTTTTTTGCAGCATTTGTCACTGTTTAATGTATTGCATGTTTGTCTTATCCCACTAAAATGTGGTAAACTTTATGAAAGTTAGATATTTTTTCATTTTCAGTTACATTTTTTGTTATATTCACAATAGCTGAAACATCGACTGGCAAGTGGTAGAATAATTGCTGAGTATGAGAATGTTATCTACTGTGGCTTTTACTGTCTGTACGGAGATACTCAAAGGAAGATTTTTTAAGTTCAGATTTCAGAAAAGCTTCCAGGAGAAGCTGCGCTTTTTCTGAGCCAGTGGTATAGTTTTGTCTTAGGAATTCTGAATTTTGTAACTTGTGTTTCATTTTTGCTTTGGTTGGTTTGTGTTTTAAATCCTAGCATTTCTTGATAAGTTGGCATTTTTTGTGTACTATTCTTATCTATGGCTTTATCTTAGTAAGTTAGATTTTTCCTTATACTTTTTAAAAGAGATTATCCCCTGTTTAGTTCGGATCCTAATTATACTTATTTCTCTACAGTATCATAAGTAATTTTTATGAACAAAGGCAGAGATATAAATAATTGAAAATCGATTTCTTTCATTGCTAGGGAAGTACAGTAAACATGAACCTCATGGGATGGCTGTACTCTAAGATTGAAGCTTCCTTGGGGTCTGCTGGCCCCACAACCCTTGGGGTCACACTGTTGCTTGGTGAGTGAAACCTCACGCCCTAAATCTTGTCTCTTCTGAGCGCTTGCCGTGGAGGTCCTGTGGCAGAGAGGAGCGAACCCAGGGGTTGGTGTCAGAGCACTTTGGTTATGGTTTTGCCACATAGTTTGCTGGGTCTTCTGCCAAGAAATCATTATTCATGTATTTGTTGGTATTGTAATTTCTACTTTCTTAAAGTACAGGATGTTATTTCTCCTTATATTCAATGTTAGCATTTGTATCTTACATATTCAATGAGGTAATTTATGTAAAATAAGAGAATTGGGATTTATTCCTTTAAGGTTTAAATAGTCCATAGCAGAAGGAAGAATTTTTCCCTCTTGATCAAAGTTAGTTGATAGTGAGGCTAGATTGCTTGGAAATCGGATGTGACAGATGGTTGAAAACTGACTGGGTTGGGAGTCAGGAATCTTGGGTTCTAGTGCAGCCCAAAGCGGTTCTGTCCCCTTGGACAAGCAGGCTAACCGTGTCTCAGTTCTGTTCCTGGGAAATGTTGGCTCTTTGACCAACGGTGTGTAAGCTCCTCGTGTCTCTGAGTCCCCTTCAGCAAGGCTCTGTGGGCCTGGCTGCTGGCTGGGTCATTGAGCGGCGTGTGAAGCTCTCTGGACTCACCACTCCTGCCTTTTCTGAGCGGTAGATCTGTGTGCCTGCGCTCTGGTGTGTGTATGGCTTCTTACTTGGGGCCTGCAGAGATGGCTGGCTCGTAGTTCCTTGGCAGCTGCTGCCAGCTGAAAAGAGGGCAGTGTGGAGGTAATGGCAGACATGTCCCAAGTCCCTTTTCCGAACCCTTCCCCCCAGGTCCACTGCCTTAGTTAAAGCATTGTCCCTTGCACATACCCTCAGGATTCCATCTCGTTTTCTTCACAGTGGAGAATTTTAGAATTTAAAGACTTTCAGAGCCAGAAAAGACCGTCGCCATGAAGTCAAAGTCTCTCATTTTTTACATGGAGATTGAAGCTTAGAGAGATTGTGTTCTGTGTCCAAGATCATTGAGCTTGTTAGTATCAGCCGGAGAACTCTTGTCTTCTGATTCATTCATATACAGTATTTTACTAAGCTTCTTCCTAAATTTCTGCTCGAGAAGTATGAACTTCATTCAATGTTTGATGACTTTGATGGGATGAGATGGACATTAGTGAGAGACGCTGACCTCACAGGAAGAAGAGCTGGGAGAGCTGTGCTTTGGGAGGATGAACCCCTGGGGCGCTAGAGTAGATGACAGATTCAAGAAGGAAGTCAGGGTGGCCAAGATATCAGCCTACTTTTGTAATTTTTTCCAGGCATCCATCAAATGAGGACAAATAAGTTAGTCATCACGTTTCCCTAGTCTGTATTGTGCTTTACAAGGCTAGTGGGGTAGAGTCTTTTTAATGTCCAGCATTCTACTCGGAAATAATGCAGTCAAATAAACTCTTGATTGGGAATTTGTCCTATGCTGTGCTTCTTTGTCTAGGTTGGTAACTGTCAGATTTTCCTCTTCATAGCTTTAGGACGCCCTCTCTTTCAGTTGCTGTGTTTCTGCTGCTTGTATAATATGCTGCCTTTCAGGAACCTTTAGTCTGGTTCTGTTTTAAAAATCTCTTTTTTTTGTTTAGGGGGTATGACCTGTATTCTTTCCCTCTGCTGTGCGTTTGCTCTTGCTTACTTGGATCAGAGAGCAGAGAGAATTCTTCATAAAGATCAGGGAAAAACAGGTAAGTCAAAATGAAAGAGGAGTGGGACTTCGGGAATTGTGGCCTCTTAAAGAGAACTTACAGTAAGTTTCTAGTGCAGTATCATAAACGTGGTGGGGCTGATTACCCACATCTTATTTTATATTTTTAAATCTATTTCCACTTGTTTAAGTTTACTGATACATTTTCCCCTCAAACTTTCTGACAGAATCTGTACTGTCAGTTGTACTTCGTATGTTGCAAAATAATTGTTCGCAGAAGTAAGTGGGAAGTTCAGTACCAACCTTAGCTTCCGATTTTTCTCACACATCTTTTTAAGTTATCCCCGAGGTGATATTTCTGTAATTCTCTAGAGTGGTATTTTTAAAAGCTGGATTGGAAAGGCTAATCACATGGTTAAGAAAATCTTGAAAGTAGGTGGAAGCTCTGTAGATGTGTGAAATTATGCTGATGGTGTCTTCTCTTCGTTCTCTAAGGTGAAGTTATTAAATTAACTGATATAAAGGACTTCTCCTTACCCCTCTGGCTGATATTTATCATCTGTGTCTGCTATTATGTTGTGGTGTTCCCTTTTATTGGACTTGGGAAGTAAGTATTTTCTAGCATTCCACTTTGCTTGGCTAAATGCTAACAGCTCAATCACGTAAATAATAGGTTACTTTTAGCAGTATATTTTTCTTGTCTGGTTGTAGTGTATATTTACACAGGAATGGTTTTGTATCCTGGAATACAGTGGATTTTTTTAGATTACAGTTTGCTATTGCTTTGATATGTTTATTCTTTGAAGAAATAATTCATAAGCATTTTTGATTGAACACTAGATTCTGGACTAGTATTCTTTTTACTTCCTCTGCATTCCCTGGTTACGAGGCTTCTTACTGCAAGTGGAAACCACCAGTTGGTGCGCTGTAACTGGTTGCGTCTCCATTTGAAAACTGGGACTGTAATTCTGCCAGACTTCAGTTCAGCACTCAGCAAATTCTTTGCTTTATCTTCTACTTCTCTCTCCCTTTTCATTACTAGCTGCTTAAGCAGAGCAGTATGTGAGTGCAAATATATTTGTGGGGAATGCGTGTGTATAACATTTAAATTTATGCTGTCATTTTACGTAATTTGAGACAAGAAGTCTATTTGTTATTTAGCAAAGAACCTTTCTAGTACTTCTCTCACACAAAAAGCAGCCTTGGTTCTTTGTAGTAAATTTGGTTTTCTGAAAAACTGTATGTACTGTTTGTATGTAAAAGGGAAAAATTAGCATCATATTTTAAGTAAGTGAAATATTTATATACATTATTAAGCTTTAGTAGATTGCTTGAGTATCAAATAAGGTGGGGAATAGTATCAAAAGAGAAAAACTTTTTGAACTGGTTAGTTTTATTCATTTTTAGTTGCCATTTATTTTATAAAAATAGTAGTTTTTTTTTTAATATATTCACTTCTTTTTAATTTTAGAGTTTTCTTTATAGAGAAATTTGGATTTTCTTCCCAGACAGCAAGTGCAGTTAACAGGTATTTCCTTCATTTTGCAAGTGCTTATTGCATGTGAAATACAAGTCTTTATAAGCAAATGTAAAGATGTTAAAAAAATGCAGAAACAATGTATGTGAGCCCAGCAATCACCCTCAATGTGACACTAAGACTGTACAGTATTGGGATTTGAATCTTGAATGTCCATCTTTGCATTAATGGACAACCAGAAGTCTTGGGCTGCTTTTTTATATTTCTATTTTCTGATTATCATTTAGAAGAATGTTTAAGTTAGGGTTCACTTTGCTTAATGTTTTTAGGAACTTGATTGGTATTTATATTTAGCCACATGGCGTTTTATTAACTTCTGTGCATATTCTCTGGGCAGTGTTGTGTATGTCATATCCGCTCCCATGTCCCCGTTATTTGGGCTCTTGGTGGATAAAACGGGGAAGAACATCATCTGGGTTCTGTGTGCGGTGACCACCACTCTCGTGTCCCACATGATGCTGGCCTTCACAGCGTGGAACCCTTGGATTGCTATGGTAACGTCTGTCTTGACACCCGCAGGGTCAGGGCTTCGGCAAGGACTCTGTCAGGCCCATTGTCGGGAGGCATGGTCATTAAATTCAGGTGGCAGTGCTTTGACGGTGGGGAAATAGTGACTTGATTTTAATTTCTGCAAAGAAATTACTATAAATTATTAATTCATAAAGTTTCTTTAATTTCATTTGGCTTATTTTTAGGGTAACCTCAACGCTGAAGTAAAATTTGAAATAAAATACCCTTCTGAAAGCCAGGATGCTAGTTGCTTCCATTTATTTTCCTGAAGTTCATTAAAAAATCCTTCCATCCAAAGTGGCAAAAAATGGATTGGCCCAATATCAGTTCTCTTGTCTTTGAGTCTCAGTAAGTTAAAAATTGGTAGTAACACACACACGTGTCTGTTTTCCTTGCCAGGCTTGGGCACAGACAGTGTTTTAATATTTGCTTATCTAATAGCCTTCAGTTGTACTTACAGAGACTTAAATCATCAGAGTTTCTCTTTTAACTGAAAGCAAATGCTAATACTAGACGTTGTCCGACAGCAGTAGTGGTGCTCATGAGTTCTCTGCTCCGCTTTCCAGTTGGGTGTTGATGACCCACAGGCAGGAGAGAGTAGACTGTTGGCATAATGTTTCTTTGATTGCTGCATTTATTATCCCTAAAAATGATGGAAAACGGGCTTTCTTAAAACCTTCATAAGAGCTTTTTACCAATGAACTTCCTCTTGCTTGGTCTTTGTGTCTTGGGCCTTAGCCTGTTGTGTATGCATATGATGTGATGCGATGACAGAAGTAGTTAGGAGAGTGTGCACCTTGTCCTTAGAAGGATACTCTTAGTAGAGAAACCAACCCTTTTTTGTATATTTTCAATATGACTTTCAGTATAATCGCAATAAAACTTGCTTAAATTTTTATATTTTAGTTAACTGTATTAATTTTACTAATCTGCATTGAAGCAAAATCACCTTTTGGATAATACCAGACTTTCCCTTCTGGCTTGCTATCTGTAGTGTCTCCTGGGACTCGCCTATTCATTGCTTGCCTGTGCGCTGTGGCCAATGGTGGCGTTTTTAGTTCCCGAACATCAGCTGGGTACTGCATATGGCTTGTAAGTACAGTGTTTACATGGTGGATCATAGATACTTGCCACTGCTGTGTCAGTTATCATAAAACTTCCGATCTCCTGAACCTAAACATCTTCAGGTTTCTGGGACAGCCATAAATCTGGAGATCTTTGGAAAAGTTAGTTAAGCTGTTTAGGCAACACAAGTTCTAGGCTTCCTTGTGACAGCTAGAGTAGGCTAACGTGTAAGAAGTACTTGCTGATCTTACTGTTCCCTACCCACGTGTCTGAGGACTTTTCAGTGAGAGATCAAGTCCCTCCCTGTCCCAGAAAGGCAAACAGGGGCAGCTACACCTGTGGTTGATGTCCATATAGCTTTTCTTTCTTTCAGCAGGAAGGTGTTGAGTGCTGAGTTCATGTAGAAGGCAAATTTACTTACTTTTGGGCAGACGGTCTAAGGGCAGAAAGAGTCATAGGATAGAAATAAAACCTATCTCACGCCATTTCTGGTTAAAACATCTCAACTTACATGGTTTAAGGGTACTAATATGTATAGGGAAGTGTTAATCTATGTTTGAGGAGTTTTGAAAATGAGATGTGCTTTTGTATTTCTTAAATTGCAGCATGCAGTCCATTCAGAATCTTGGGTTGGCGATTATTTCCATTATTGCTGGCATGATATTGGATACTCGGGGATATTTGTTTTTAGAAGTTTTCTTCATTGGCTGTGTTTCTTGTGAGTATGCCATGTAGCAGCATTTAGTTTCTTTCGATGTAGCGTGATGTCCTCATTTTTACCATTAGGTTCTAGTTGTCATTTGTCCTCTCTTTGCCTGCAGAGCATATCCCTAAGATATAATTGCTCAGATTTGCCTAATTCTTAGTCTGTGGGCCAGACTTCTCCAGCTGGTGTTTATGGTCAGCTCACTGAGGATTCACACATTTTTTCAGATTTATATTTGTAAAGGCATCAGTAGGATCAGTCTTCTGCTCTGCTTTAAATATTTATGCTTTTAATAAAATTTCCCCTTTAAAGTGGAATAATTTGGAGAGCTGTGAGTGTGTCCCTAGTGTGAATGTGTGATTTAGGTGTGACTGCTCATGGTTTACTCATTGCTTTTATTTTTAGTCTGTTACCTATTTTTTACCTATGCATTGGTTAAAAATAGGAAACATCAGAAAATCATCGAAAAACTAAAAGATTAAATCAGTATTTTTCTGTACAGAATCTTTACCATATACCTAAATTGTTTATCTGAAAATATATTCTCCTGTAACATACTGAAGTTATCTTTTGTACTTAATTTATTTACAATGACAAGCTACAGTGATACTTTTCTCAAGTTTTGTTTCTATTTTCAAGGAGTGGACTGTGTATACTTGAAGTGTGGTATTGGCAGATCATTGGTTATACATACTCTTAAATTCATTTTAATATTTCATAAGTGTAGAAATAAGCATATTTTTAGAAAATCATTTGTTTTTAAAAGGGGGGTCATTTAAGAATTCAGAACATTAGGTCATGAAGTGTTTTTGTTGATTTTTGATACTGCAACAAGAAGTTTAGTTTCAGCCCATAGTTTAGCATATGTTTGTGTCCAGCAAACTGCCATGCCATTGAAAAATATTTTTTGCCAGATTAATTTAAACTAAATTAAATAGTGTGCCTCACTTGGTAAGGGAAAAGGACAGGCACTGACATTTAAGGTCTTTCCTGCTTGTGGAGTGCTGGGAGTCTAATGACTAGGTTTTGGTTGGTTATTTCATTTGTAAAATGGACATTGTATTTTCAAAATTAAAATCCCTGAGGGAATACTCTTTGGAATTCTATGAAATTTTGGGGAAGTGCCTGGAAGGACCAGTGCATAGGTGGGGAGAGAGGAGCCAGTGGCCTCTAGGTGGTTGGCTCCCTCATCCATAGGTGTTTCAGCTTTTCTGAAGTGGCAGTCCTTGGGCTAAGTAGCAGCCATTTCCCATGGAAAACAAGGATATAACTTCTAGTACTTTCAGAAATAAAATAATGTGAATAGTATTATTTGTAATTGCCAATTAATGAAGGTTTTTTTGGTCTAAATTTCACTTTGTAATTATGATTACATAGGAATCATTGAGAAGAAATACGTATTTTTAAAAGACCTTTTTTAAAAATTACTTCTAGTGGCACTTTTATCTGTGGTCTTACTGTACTTGGTGAATCATGCCCGGGGTAAGTTTTGATATTTTCTTCTCAAGTTCAATTTTGTGGTTCTCCGCATGCTGCTTTGGGGGCTAGTGTCTTAGTTCACTCAAGAGCGACTTTCCATTCAAAGCAGACAACACATTTGATTACAAAATGTGAGATTAGTATTCTAGAACTTCATATCTATTGAAATTATTTTTTGTTTTCTAGCCAGGTCAGTTTGAGGTTTGTAATATAAAGTGTTAGATGTTATTATTATATTAGCATAAGGAAATACAGCATTTAAAAAACAATCTAGAGACTTAAAATGTAAAATCTGTTTGTGGAGGGTGGTACTAGGGATTGAACCCAGAGCCTTCACACTGAGCTACATCCTCAAGTCTTTTTTTATTTTTTACTTTGAGACAGGCTCATGCTAAGTTGCCCAGGCTGGATTTGAACTCCTGCCTCAGCCTCCCAGAGTTCTGAGATTATAAGCATGGGCCTTTGTGCCCAACTTTTATTGTCTTTATTTTGAAGTAATAAGCTAGTAGATTTATGTTTGCAGTTTGTATTTTAAGGATTAAAGTGTTTTGTTTAGAATTAGAAATTATAAATTCTTTTAAACTAAGAATAGTATATTGTTTAGTCTTTTTTATTGTTCTTTTTAAGATTTTGAGGTTGGCCTTATTAATTTTTCTGACTGCTTGCTGTTAGAGGATGTTAGGTACTTACCAAAATGTAATATACATGGTCATTAAATTTTAGGCAGTTTCTTTACATTTCTCTTAATTTTCACTCTTACTGAATGTTAACACAGCATACTCTTACAGAGTTTTGGTTCAGAGTTTACAGGCTCAGTCATTTGTGGATTTTTCCTTAGAACATAAATAATTGTTCATAGAAACCCCCGTAATTTTGTAGAAATGGCAGCTCTCCTCCACGAATTTTTTTGGGCGGGAGGTTTGCAAGTAGCCAATCTGAGAGCGAACTCAGTTCTCCTTGCTACTGGTTGGCTGCTGCCTTGTGACTCATCCCTGACAGACGCACCCACACTCCTGTCCTAGCAGGTTATGCTACCACGCCTCGCTCCCTGCAGTGTTGGTTTTGTTGTTCTTAAAGCCCAACGGTCCCTACGATGCTGCCAAACACCTTGCACCTTCTAAGGCTGTGTTAATACAGTGTTTTATTAAATCACATAACTGCGGGAGACACAGCATATTTAGGGTTTAAACTATAAAAATGGTCATTTATAGGGATTTTTTTGACCATGTCTGAAAATTTATGGTTTTTCACAATTCAAGGGTGCCCTAGAAACAACCCCCATGAATTTCAGGGATCCACTGTACAATGTTCTAGTTAGCAAAACTTGAAGCAGTATATAATTCCAGACTTAACTAAAATTGAGTGATTATTTATGTCACATAAGAATTCTTTTCTTTCTCATCTTTGTTTTTACTTAAAAGGGATACATCTATGCAAATGTTTGTGTATGGTTATATTTTACTTAATGTTACACTGAAAGGACTGTGTTTGTTTTAGGTGGGAACCTAAATTACTCAACAAGACAAAGGGAAGAAATGAAGCTTTCTCATACTGAGTAAGTATTAAGAAGAAAACTTGTCTTTAAGTAGAAAGCCATAAATATTACTATTTTATTTCAAGTTAATTAGTTTGGATTTTCAAGAAAATAGTCTTTTTCTTGAGTGTCAAGACTGAATGATTAAGTTTGGAGCTATTATGAAAAATATCTTATTTCCTAAAGTTTAAAAAGATGAATTTCAGGACTTAAAATGTAAGAGTAAAAATGAATTGGGCTTCAGTTGCGTTCCAAGGCAGAGAGAGGTGCAGTTCGTTGTAGGGAAGGCCTTTGGCTTGAGCTCCTGTGCTGGACTGACCGACCCTTCTATCCGCTTGGGTATTTTCCCTTCGGTTAGTAGTTGAGGTAATTTATATGGCAGTCTTACTTATTTTGTTAAAAAATTGGAACTGACGTAAATGTTCCAATGTAGGGAAATAGTTAAATATGTTCTGACACATCCATGTAGTAAGTTGTCAGAATCATGTTTTAGAAGGAGTTTTAATATCACATATAGCTAATATACCGTATGTGAAGTAAGCAAAAGATAAAATGAAATATAATCTCTAAATTTATTCAGAAAGATGTGTAGGCATGTAGATGTCTGAAACCCAGTTCCTTGGTATGAGGTATGATCAGATTATACAGTAAGTGTTTACATTAAACAAGATTATTACAGTAAGACACATTGCTGTTGATCCCTGTCAGCACATACCTCCTTCCCTTGAACACACTTACCACATCGTTCTTGCCGCTCTCTGAAGCAGTTCTGGAAGTCCTCGTTCATGTCTTCATGAGGTGCGATCAAAAATATGGTGAACGCGCTGCCAAATGCCATGGAGGAGTGCAAAGGCAGGCCCATAAAAACCTTACGGTTTGTCCTCATCATCTTACTCACTCCATCAGGTGACACGTGACTTCTGGCTCTTTGCCATTATCAAAGTGACCATGAAAGCAAACATTTTGAATTGATTCAGGACACTGAGGCAGCCATAACAGTATAACTAAAGACACGAAAGAAGACTTCCAGAACTGCTTTAGAGGGTGACAAGAACAATGGAGCAAATGTGTTTGAAGAGAGGGGTGTATTTTGAGGTGGATTAATGACAGTGTATCTGTTACTGTAATTTTAGTATATATTCGAATCCTATGTCATATACTAGACAACGTACTGAAAGAATAACATTGTAGTGTAGTTCCTTCGAATGGCAAGGCTGCAAAGATTGGATATTTTCCCTTATTTTCCAAATGTTCTATATTGATCTTCTGTTCCTTTTACAATCAAGAATTTAAAAAATTATCCAGGAAAACGTATAACTTATAATATTTTGCATTATATGTCCTAAAATGTTATGATTTTCATTTTGTAAACTGGGTGGGACTTTATGCTTTAACCTCTTTTTCATAATTTATTACTTTATGTTTTGCAGATGAGAAGTTTAAAGGACTGTGTCATGAGAACGGGGTGCACACACCACCGATTTGAAAACCTCCATATATATATATATATATATATATACACACATATATGTATTTTAATTTAGAGTTTAGTCATGAGGAAAAATAATGAATGGGAAGTCATATTTATATTTCAGATGCACCTATTTTAAAGTGTGTGAGAACTGTGTTAGCCTGTGTTTTTTGTATTGTGTGTTGCTGAGTAATTCTACATTAGAATAAAGAGGTGAATCAACCGTGACAGTTTAGGAAATTGCTCTGGAACATCCAGGTGAATTTCAGGAAGGACAGTTAAGTAATATAAAACAATAGATCTTGTATTGAGATAACTTTCAATAAGTACATTTTGGGGCTGTAGCCTTTTGTCTTACTTGAAAAGCTAGGGCTTGAAGGGCTATTTCGTATGGAATAAACGAGGGCACTGTACTAGTCATTCCCTCTGTGATAAGGAAAGTGGTAGGAATTCTCTTCATATTTCCCTCTGGCAGATTGTGTTCTGCTGCAGTTTAGGAGGGCTACTGAGCCGTTGCCCTTCAGGGTTTCTCTTAGGAGGACCCGAATCGCCTGAGATATAATTTTATAGTATCAACTTTTGTATAGTTTTTTCTTATGGACCAGCTAATAACTGAAAAGTATTCTTAAATGTGTGGTAGTTTTTGTATCTACCTGGGTAAATAAAAGCATTGCAAAATACATATTTGCTGTCTTCTAATTTTTGATTTAAAAAAAGCACTAAAACACTGATTTTTAACTCTGATTGATATGAAAGATTATGTACAGCAAAACCCAAGTTGAAGTAGAGAAACATGCTTGATTATAGTCATCGAAAGGTGATGGAAATAGCTTTTTTCTGAAGTGGGACTTTTAATTAGCATTTATGTTTTTTGCATTAAAAATAATATGAAACGTCTCTGAAAATTCTTTAATGATGGTCAGTGGACGTCACCTTAGTATGTTATGTATTAAGGTTAAGGAATTTATTTCATGTGTTTTGTTCTCTGTGGCTGAGCAGATACTTTTAGATAGCAAATATTAAACCAGTGTGTTTTTGCTGATTATATTCTTTAAAGTACTTGGCATAGCATTGTACGTATGCTTGAAAAGTTCTGGAACAGGTGAAAGTGCATTCCTTATGCAAGGTAACTTTACATCCTTCCTCTTGACTTAGAGTTTATTGTATTGTCATTTAGTTGTTACCTTTTTAGGCTTTAGCTGCCACGTGTCTGCATGTGTGAGTGCAGGGCGTTGCTGTCCCAGCCTAGACAGGGAAGCTTCCAGACCTTTCAGTGTATCTCAGGTTCTTCTGAAATTCCTGTGATGTTTGAAAAACTGTGGTTTTTCTTTCTTATCTTATGTTTTCCTGTAATGAAATGTTTGTAGTGTGCGTGTGGGTTTCTGTTTCTTCCTTAGATTGTCAGCTCCAGAGGGCAGGAAGTGTGTCTGGTGTGTTAAATAAATTGTGGGCACATTCCCTTGGGGCCCTAGGATGGAGAGTCAGTAGGATACCTCCGAAGATTTCTCCGACACAGTGGCTCAAGTGTGAGTTAATGATGCTTTCAAGCTTCTTGCAAGGTTTATTTACTTTTTTCTCAATTCCGAGACTTTTTCAGTTTTCCGAAGAAAATTACTTATTTCGGGATTCTGTCTTTCCATGTGCTGGTAGTAGGGAAAGTTTTAGGACAGGGAAATTTCTCACACCCTGCCCTTCATGTTTTACAGGGTAAAATGAGTAAGAAATGTGGTTGGTGGAGCGTTGCGAGTGGGCGGAGAACGAGTAGCTGGGCTTGCACTGGCGGGCAGCAACTGAGGTCAAGAGCTGTGCTGAGAATAATCGGGCTGGAGGGAGAACCCGGCCCTGTGTTGATAGCTGAAGTTGGGCGGGGTGTGGAGGTAGGGAAAAGATGAGCTTGGAGACAGGCATTCAGGACTTCGGGTCATCGCCCACGAAATAGGTGGCATGTTAGAGGAAAGCTAGGTTCTGGTGGGTTCCAAGCTTAGGGGACGGGAGGGTCAGTCACATAATGGGAATTTAAAGTAGTTTTCTGTGTCTGATTGTTTCACATTTCTGTGAAGTTTAATAGATATACATTTGTGTTACAGCCATCATAGTCAGGTGCAGAACAAACGGTTCCTTAGAGAACTGTCCAGAGGAAAAACACTGCAGTATCATTGCTTTCAAAGATAACATGTATGTGTCCTCTGTGTGGAAATATTTGAGTTCTTAGAAAGTTTTGATTTATTTTCCAGTACTTAAGTTTTTTAAAAAAATTACCTTGCTGGTATAATAACTAAAGCTTTTGTAATCATGCTTTTTAAATTTGTAGCATTGCATAGACTTCAATACAGTATTTCATTTTATAGTGAATTGGGATGCTTTATCTTTGATACCATCTTGTGATTCAGACAAATTTAACAGTGGAGGAAGCCCAGCACAGCGCTTGTAACACGTGATGCTGCTTGCGGATGTAAAATCTGTGAGGACTTCCGTGTCATCACTCACATGTGACATCACTGAACCCAAAGCCCTTCACCGGAGCTGATGCTTCAGAGGTGTGGAAGACGTGGAGTCGTCCTGCTCAAGACCCCTCTCATGAGTGCAGGAAATGGGCACAGGGTCAGTGATGCAGGCTGGTACAGCGTGGGGAGGACTGATAGCGCCAGCAGTGCCTAGGGACTTAAGGATTAGCGAGCCTAGGAGCGTCCATGGTTTCCGGAGAGACGGTCCTTGAGCTGTGCTCTGTAAAGGATGAGTAGGGTGACACTTCCAGGCAGGTGAGAAGCAGGGTAAGAATGAGAAGAGGTCTCGGAGCTGATGGTTAATGAAAATGGAGTGAAAGAATGTGGGACTTCAGACAGAAAGTATTTGTACAAGGTAAATCACTGGAGGCCTTTCACCCCATGCAAGTTTGTCATCTTAGTGTTTCGAGCTTTTGGAAATTTTCACGCTAGGATTGTCAGGATAGGATTTACGTCTTGGAAAGATGACTGGAAACTAGGAAGAGAGTGAATTGGGGGCAGAGGAGAACAAATATGGAGGCAGAAAGAGCGGATAGTAGAGCAGTGATGCTGGGAGTCAGAGTAAGGCAGTGGCAGTGAGGAAGGGAAGGCGGGGCAGGCTGCGGCGATACCTGCGCTGTGGAACTAACACAGTGTGACCATTTCCTGGGGTGGGGGGGGAGGCCTCGCTAAGCCAGAATGAAGGGTAGCTCCCAGATTCTGAGTTGCGGGGGGAGGCCTCGCTAAGCCAGAATGAAGGGTAGCTCCCAGATTCTGAGTTGGATGGCTGGTGGTGCCACTTGACCAGTAGGACCACAGGCAGGATGTTCGGTTTGGAGGAAAATGGATGCAGTTTTGGCTTTGTGGAGACTTGTATGGGTTATCAGCTGTGAGCGGGAAGAAGGTGGCTTCAGCATAGAAGATTGCCCTGGAGAGGGTCTGGGAGCATCGCTGCAGTTATCGGGCAGCCAGTGACTGGCCAGGGAAGAGTGCGGGGTAGGCGGGCAAGAGCGTCCAGGACACAGTCCTGTGACACATCGGCTTTGGAGAGCAGGAAGAGGGACCATCTGTGAAACAAGGGAGAGCTGAAGAGAGCGGGTGACAGTGACAAATAGCATGGAAAAATCAAGCAGGAGAGAAGCTGACAACTGGCAAGTCACTAGAGTGTAGTTGCGAATAATTTCAGTGAAATGGGATGGTAGGGCAGGCAGCAGCTGTGTTGTAATGAGTATGAATTCAAGGTAGAAATTGCAATAAAAATTGTAGCCCACTGTTGCACGAAACTAGACTATAAAGGAGAGCTCATAAGGAGCCTGCAGTGGCTGCTGCTTTATTTGTTGGGTTAATGCTTTATAAAGGTCTCTTTGCTAATGTGTTTTTCCACCTGGAGAGGGGAACATTCTCAGACTCTGTGATTCTTTAATTTTCTTGAAGTGGCAATTTTTGCTTTGTGTTTGTGATTTAACCACTGTAAAAATGCTCAGCTATAGCTTGCTTCAAGAACATAAGTTCTGCTTTGTATCATGAAATTCTTCTTGAAGCTATTACCTTTGAAGTAGTTTGATACATTAAAAAATAATAAAATCTAAACTCTCAACAAAAGAGAGTTGAGAAATTAAATTATAAAGAGATTGAGCTTGTTTATAAGAAAATAAAATAAAAAGAAGCTATTACCTTTGAAGTAGTTTGATACATTAAAAAATAATAAAATCTAAACTCTCAACAAAAGAGAGTTGAGAAATTAAATTATAAAGAGATTGAGCTTGTTTATAAGAAAATAAAAGATAAGGAGAGTACACAACTTTATAACTTGGTTATGCTTAATTGCAAATGATTTTGTGAAAAACTTCCCCTGTCTTAGTCCTTAGACTAAAAGCTATAAATCAAAGCAAAAAAATAAAAGAATGCTCAGAAGTACTGTGTGTTCTGGCATTGGTTTGGATTGGTGGTGTCGCAACAAATGAATCCCAAGCAGCTGTGATTTAGCTTTATAGGTGCACACTCATAAATTGGATTTAGCAGTAATTTCAGAAAAGCATACACGAGAAGACCATTTGCTTTGTGTTCATTTATTCCACAAAGATTTAACGAGTACCCACATAGTCAAGCCTTTGCTAGATCCTATAAGAGGGGCGCGAAGAGGGTTCAGGTAATACCTCTCACAGGTGGTACAAGGGCGCAGCGTGCTCCAGGAGAGCAGTGGGTAGAAGGAGAAGCCCTGCTGAGATGACTGTTTATTCTCTGAATAGTCTGTTTCATGTGATAGCCTTAACTGCTCTCCCTCTCTTGAGACTGTTCATTTGCTTGATATTCCCATGCTGTGCTACCGGGCCCAACCCCTGTCTCTGTCCTGTCAGTACTTACGGTTCATTTGTATCCTGGGTCTTACGTTCTTTTTCTTCGCTTGTCCCTGAGAGAAGTCAAGCTAGTGATGCGGGTTTGAATATATATTTGTCTACACAATAACGTCAGTCCCGGAGCCCAAGTTGAAGTTGCCTCTCATCCATTTCCACCTTGAGGTCTCTAGCTATTCTCGTGTGACTCCCACAGTGCAAGCCCATCCCTCTTCCCTCCCTCCCTCCCTGCCTCCTTCCCCACTTCCCTTGCTTTTCCCCCCAGACAGTACTTTCTTCTTTGTGCTGCATGCCAGTTTATCATTCTTTGCAGTCCTCAGGCTTGCAGTCAGAGTCATTTTGTTATGTCTTCCTAACCAGTCATGTCTGAACGTTTTCCTGCTCTTCATTCTTTCCTATATTTTAAGATTTAAGGTGTACTCATGCCACCAGAGTTTTGCCCACCATTTGTACATTTGGATTGTGGCAGTGGTCTTCTGACGTGGGTCATCTTCCCCTTCATACGTCTCACCCTTGCTTACTGTCTGCCCAGCTCAGCATATTATTAGGCTTCTGTGTTCTGCAGATTGAAGATGGCGCAGTGAGGGAGAGAAAACGGACCTGGGGTGATAAAGGAACCTGTCTCCCAGGTGGTGAGGCCCATGGGTGAGTCAGAAGTGTTCCGTGGGGTCAAAGCCAGCGGGAGGTGGTGGGCCCCAGCGTCACAGGAGAGGAGAACATAGGCGTTTGGAGAAGCGTCTCTGGGGGGGTGCAGAGTTGTAGGTGGGGGGGCAGGTAAAGGTGGGGGTGGAACTCCAGGAGCTGTGTAAGAGCCGAGTGGAAGGTGCGGCAGGGACCGCCCAGCGGTGGGGCTAGAAGGCAGGCAAGAGGGTGTGGGACTGAAGATGGGTGGGAGGAGCTGATCCCGGGAGGAAGCGATGGAAAACACTGTTTCAAAGAAAATTGGAGGTGCTGTGCAGGGTGGCTTTGAAGAGAAGAAGACCAAATTAGGAGACCTTGCAGGAGTCTTAACATTTTATTTCTCTTCTGTAATTATTCAAGTCTGGGGAGCTTCCAGATTAAGTTTCTAAACCACCTTTATCGTGTTTCTTTGCTCAAATGCCACTGGTGTCCTCCCTCCCCCTCCCCCCCATCTTGAGAAGTGGTGCTTTTGCTGACTTTATTGGCGCTCAGAAATCACACTTCAGACCACCCTTCCCACATTGTCTCCGGTTCCTCCCTTTCAGGAGCCAGGTAATTACTCACACGCATTGAGTTTACTTGTGCAGATCTCTCATGCTCTCTGCTTGGGAAGTTCCGATTGATGTTTCTCCAGCCTCCAGCATCCTCATGAATGCCCTTCGTGCCCCTCCCCGCCTCCGCGTCGCACCCTGTCCATTGAGACTTCTCTCGTGCTCACTGCCTAAATGGCTCATTTGGAAAACTAACAACTGACGTGATTTCTTCTATAGCTGCAAACAATTTTTAGCTCTTACATCTCCTATAGAAACATTTATATGGCAACAGCTGACCTGCTAATTAGAAAACATCCTTGCCTACTCATTAAGCCAATTATCCTGAGGATTTTCTCTAAGCAACACTTAGTCTAGTTCTAATTATTGTGTGGCCTCGAAAGTAATAAACTATACTTTTAGAATAAAATTTTATAATTTAGACATACGCACGGTTTACTCACACATTTCCCCTAATTAGAGTGGGCTAGTAATGAGGGGTTACGCTTCTTAGGAGAAGGATTTGCTCATCTCCATGGGAAGGTTATATTGAACTGTTAGATACACGTTTAGTTCTGACCTTAGAGATCATTATTTAAATAGGGGATGCTTTTTTCAAAAGGTTGTCTTTCTTGATTGCTTTGGCTCTTCAGTGATTTTTTAGGTTTTTCGTGTAAGGACTAGGGAAAAGGTAAAGCTTATTTTTGGTGTGCGTGTGTGTGTTAAGCTGAGATACCACGTTTAATAAAAAGGCAGAGGTTTTCCTAACTGGAGCACTGGTTAAGAACTGCAGTAAGAGAGCACAGGAGGTGTGCTCAGCGGTCTGCAGATGCAGCAAGTGTAAGTGACGCAGCTGACCTAGAACAAAAGCTTTGCTGTGGAGGGAAACTTGGGCTGGTTCCTGAATGGGGCCTGAGCTTCAGGCTTGGATGCAAGTGCCTCAGAGGCCGCTCCCTGGTTTCTAGCCTCCATTCCACCCTCATAGCCAGGCGTCCTCTAGCTGGTGAGCTTGGGCAAGTTCCTAATACTCTGCTTCGGTGTTTTCTGTAAGTGGGGTTGGCAGTGTCCTCAAACTACATGGGCCAGAATGAGGATTAAATGCGTTACTGCATGGGAGGTGTTCTTAGTAAGGGCTTTGTTTACTTTTCCGTTCATTCACTCATTCAGCTTCTGTCTAGAGTGCATCTGCTGTGCAGGGCTGTCCCGGGGGGGGGGAGGGTGGTGTTTGAGTTCAGCAGTACGATGTGGCCTTTGTCTGATTGGAGCCTGTCTGCTCGTGAGAAGAGAGAGATCCTGAGTAAGTGAACTGACAAGTCGTGGGAGTGGTGTGTCACAAAGGCAACAGATCAGGAAATAAAGAGTGATTGGGTTCTGGGAGAAGAGGTCAACATTAGCTGAGGTGGGCAGGAGTGCTTTTTGAAAAGGTGACATTTGAACCAAGACCTGAGTGATAAGAGAAAACCGGCAGTACTCAGTGTTGGTAGTACCCTCCACATTCTTACTGTAAAATTTCTTAACATCAACGTAAAATGCTTTTCAGCAGGACCCTTTCTAGGAGGTCTGACGTCCCCTCCCACTTCCCCTCCCTAGTCTGTGTTCAAACAAGTCCTGGTTAGCCATGGAGCCTGTCTCCCCAGACTTCACCTTGGCAGTACCCAGATCCCCCAGACCCTGGGCGCCTGTCCTGTGGCCCCAGCGGGGTGCTCATCCACCTTGTTCTGCCTCAGTTTCTGGAGAAGCCTGGCTCCATTGTTACCTCTTAACTGGAAGTAGAGGATGGGGTTGAGGCAGCTGTTTATGCTCACCACAGGCCTCCAGACCTTGTGGGCCACACTGGCTGCCATCAGGAGCTGGCAGTGCTGTGAGCCCAGGAAGTGGGCGGTAAGGTAGAAGGAGCGGGTGATATGGAAGGGCACGAAAGAGAGGGTGAAGAGGCTGCACACCAGCAGGATGGTCCGGATGGACTTGGCCCGGGCCGTGTTGCCTGTCCTTGTGATGTTCTCCTGTGGCTTGGTGAGGCTTCTGATCATCCGGAAGTAGCACACCAGGATGACCAAGGAAGGAAAGACAAAGCCAGACAGCATTAGAACCATGCTATAGGCATAATACTGGTCAAACTTCCCAGGGCTGGTCATGTCATAGCAGATCGTCTGGCCATCGATGTAGTCTGTGTGGGAGAAGGCCAGTGTGGGTAGCAGTTGGAGGACCACCAGGGTCCAGGTGGTGGCAGCCCCCAGCTGGGCATGCTTGCGGGTCCGGTAGGGCAGCGACCGCAGTGGGTGGCACACGCATAGGAAGCGGTGCACGGAGATGCAGGTCAGCAGCAGCATGCTGCCGTACAGGTTGGCGTAGAATAGGAAGCGCACCAGTCTGCAGAACAGCTCCCCGAAGAGCCAGTTGTCACCCAGGATGTAGGTGACGACGAGGAAAGGTAGTGTCAGTAGGTAAAGCAAGTCGGCCACCATCAGGTTCACCAGATAGATGGTGGCACAGCTCCATGGCTTGGTTTGGTGCCAGGAGAGCCATAAGACAACGCCATTCAGGAGTAGCCCGAGGATGAAGATGATAGTATAGGTCAGGGGGAGGTAGATTTGCTTATACCTCTCTGTTAACTGGCAGTCCCCTTGATCCTTGGAGGCATTTGTGTCCAGCCTCTCCATCCCTGAGGAGGTCCTCTCCAGGAGGAGAGAGCTCGGTCTTGGCTCCACGTCTGCTTTCCTAAGAGGAAACAAGACAAGCAGCATCACATCATGACTGCGTTGGTCCTTAGTCTCTGCTTGACCTAGCGTTCAAGTCTGTATCCTAAAGTTTAGTCAGAATCCTTGCTTAAGCAAAACCAGCTCCAGGAGAAAAATGTTAAAGGGAATGTTCAAATTAGGCCTTGTGGACTTACCAGGAGTGATCTGTCCTTGGCTTGTATGCTGTCTGCTCTAGGTGGGATTGTGATAAGAAAGTCAAGTAACATGGTAGCGGGAAGACCCTGGCATTATTTAAACAGGGCACCCAGACCTGCCAGCTCTGTGACTCCTCCTCTTGCTGGAATCCTTTGCATAGAGTCAGGAAATCTGCAAGGGGAGAAGCTGGTGTATTCTCAGGGCAGTAGTGCCCACAGTCTTCCTAACCACACAGGCCGCCGTGGAATAGAAAGTGATCCTTGGCTTTTAGGGAGGCTTAGGGAAAGTATAGGTTTTGCCTACAGGCTCTGCTGCAGGATTTTGGTTTGTATGCTTTGCAGGATTTAGTCACTGGATATTTGAATAGTGAGGCTGATTTGCTTGTTAACCGTCTCAGTCTCTCAAGCACCTAAGAAAACAATTTGAGCATAGCTTCCTCAAATTCCTATCCCTGCTGACAAAGCAGGTGCGATGCATGGCCCCAGGTCACAATGGCAGCTGTGTGCAGAAGTGGAAGTCAGCATGGAGCTTATGGGGAGTGAAAAAAGTTTAATTCTGAGACTTAACATCAGAGACATCATATTTAGAAAGACAAGTTAAAACAAGAGAAGTCAAGTGTAGGGGCACCTGCCTGTATTTTCAGCTACTAGGGAGGCAGAGGCAGGAGGATTGCTTGAGCCCAGGAGTTCAAGATCCTGTAAAACAAGCAAACAAACATGAAAACGGGTGGGAGTAGTTTAAGGTAGGTAATTTGAGGATAAATTGAGCATTGGCTGTTTATTATAATTCACAACAAAGGGAGACCTCACTCTGTCAATCAGCATTTAGTTATTTAGTCACTGAGAACAGCAAGAGGAGTAAGACACAGCCCTTGCTCTTAGGGTCTCACAGTCTGGTAGGAAGACAAATGATGCCGTTCATTGCAATATGTGAGAAATGATCAACAAAATGGTGTGAAAATGAGGATACAGCCAGTTCTCGCCGAGGAAATAGATTTCTTAAAAGAGGTGACATTTGGGCTCTTGGGAGAAGAATAAACAGGAGCTTTCAAGGCAGGTAGGATGACGAGCACGGGGGCAGAGGAGAGCATGTGCCAGGGGATGGAAGCTGACGGGACAGTGTGTTGGTGCAGGAGCATCAGCACTGGAAGTGGTGCTACCACAAGGAAGCCAGCTCTTGAGCAGGACAGTGAGGGGCTAAGGCTGTTGCGATGGTCACTGTAGGAATCCACTTCCCTGGGTTCAGGGATGCCCCAAGAGCTAGCAGAACGTTACTTTTCCCATATGCCTGTGAGGGTGTTTCCAGGAGAGACTGGTATTTAAATCAGTGGATGGAGGAAGGTCCTTCCTCTCCTGTGTGGGGGAGTCCATCCAATTGGCTGTACTTCCGGATAGAACAGAAATGTAAGAGGAAAGACAAATGGACTCTCTCCTTGATGTGAGAACTCCAGGTTCTCTGGCTCTTAGACTCCAGCTCATGTACTCGCAGATCCGGTTTGGTGAAGCCAGGGCCTGAGATGGGCACTTAGCTGAGGCCTGGCATTTTGAGGTTGTAGGGGATGGTAGTGCTCTGTGTCTCAGCCTGCCAAAGGGCTGGCTACCTCTCTGACTGACTTCAGAATATTTCGACCAGGAGAGCAGAGCTTTTGGCAGGGAGAAGAAAATGAATGTAGTTCTCACTCATTTTGTTCCCTGTAATCTTTCGTGCTGGGGGACCGGCAGATGCTTAGTTATTTCCATCGAGGCTGCCTTGCCAGGTCAGTGTGGACTCTCAGAGGGAAACCAGGAGGGTGACCAGCCACGGCTTGGGCTGAGCAGTTCTTACATGGGATTTTATTTAATCCTCAGAACAACCTTACGAACGAAGCATCACGTGTTTTACTGGTGAGAAGCTAGTCAGGGATGAGAACCTCCGAGAGCTCACTGGGACCCTTGATCTGGTAGGAGGTTGCTGCCCTGACCTAGATCGTGGGCTTCTGTCCCCTCTCAGGGCTGTTTTGGTGCAGTGAAAAGTGCTCAAATCCCACCTCCACGAGAGTCCGAAGCAGTTACTCAACCTCTGTATGCCATGATTTCCTCAGCTGTACAGCGGGACAGTCCCCTTCTGGCAGGGTTGCTATGGAATTACCTAGAAGAGATGCATGTGCCCCGTGGCCTGCCACAGGGAAGAGACCAACCACGTGTCAGTTCACCTCCAACCCTTTCCTCTCCCGCAGACTCCGGTGCCCTGGACGTCTGCGTGTTGGCTCGTGTGGAAGGGTGGGAGAGCAGGAGTGGCTTTGCTGCTCCCCACTTGGACAAGATCCCTTTCCCCTCCTGCATTTTACCTTTTATGAGTTGAATGTTGTCTGCCTCCAAATCCTATATTGAAACCCTAGCCCCAGGGTTGGTACTGTGTAGTATTTGGAGTAAGGAAGTCATTAAAGGTAGATGAGGGGGTGAGAGTGGGAACATAATTCCGTGGGATTCATGCCTTTTAAATGGGGATGCTGGGAGATCTCACTCTCTGCCATGGGAAGACATGGATTTAAATCTACGATTTGACTTTCGCTTTTAATATTTCACCTGTATCCGTAGGTAAAATATTTTTGTCTGATGCTTGGGACTGAAGCTGGGGTTTTGCGTATGCTAGGCGTGTCCTTTGCTGCTGAGCTATAACCCCTATTTAAGTGAAAATTCATTTCTTTAGCAAATGAAGGCATTTAATGGAGTCTCATAAATGCCTTCAGGCTGTAAAAGTTTGTTTTTACAGGTTTTTGTTTCATATATTATATATTCATCTGTTTATACATTAATATGCACATACATTTATATATTTATCTGCTTATACAGTGATTGCCATATGCATGGATGTGCTGATACATATCTGTGTGTATATAGTACATACACATTTCTAAATTTACAACTATAATCAGGATCTATTCATATCACAATATAAATATTTGATTTTTAATGGGTTTCTTCAAGTGTAGGGCCCCAGGTGACATGAATTAAGTGATGAATTAAAGTAGCAGGTGGTTTACTTTGAATTCTTTTTTTTTGTTAAGTTTACTGGTACTTTATAGGCATAAGCAATGATCACATTCATCATAGGGAATTTGTGTGTGTATATGATATAACTTAAGTCATTTGTTTCCTGTGCCCCTATCCTCCCTTCAACCCTTCTTCCCTCCTTATTTACAAAAGCTTTCTTTCCATTTTTTCCTTTTCTCATTTTAAAATTCATTTTCTTAGGCTTCCAATCCGCTGATACTTTGATGTTCTTTAGCCAACTGACCATTGGGTGGCGATAAAGACCACAGACCAGTTACAACCTCCTCCCTCTAAATGAAAGCCAGAACAGGGGCTGGGCTCCCGTTCAGGACTAGAGCTGTGGATGAGATATAATTCACTGAGGACATAGAAAAAATCCCGCGAATCCCATTTCTTATTGGTCTGTTATCTATAGTTACTCTGTTAGGTTCATACGAAGAAATTGAGTTACAGTTAACCGAGAGCTTCCTGTTATTGTGATTATTCTACACAAGATTTCTGTGAGACAGGTGCGGGAGACATTGTTCTCTTCATTTTGCATCTGAGAAAGAAGGACTCAGGTTGAGTGGAAGTCATGTCTTCAATGATTGACAGAAAGCCTGGATTTCTTTTACAAAACAGATCCAGTAAATCACCAGATTTCCAGGGGATGTTTTCTTACCTACCTATTCCCCCTCTGCCACCCCTTGTCACCACCACCCCAACCTCTGCCACCAGATCCCCCCCAAAGTAAGATGTGGAAATAAAATAGCAAGTCATCTCTCAAGTCACTGGATGTACTTCCTTTATTATAGATTACAGAGCCCTACCTCAGAAATCACGATTTGGAGATGATTTTAAACAGAGAGATAAAAGAATATGGTATTACCCTCAACCCATCCTTGATTTTGCTTTCTTTCATTTTCTTTTCCTTCCTTCCTTTCCTCCTTCCTCCTTTTGTGGTATGGACAGTTGAACCTAGGGAAGTTACATCTCCAGGCTTTTATATGATTTTTAAATTTTGAGACAGCGTCTCACTAGGTTGGCATCAGACTTGTGATCCTGCCTTAGTCTCTTGTGTAACTAGAATTACAGATGTGTGGCACCGTGTCCAACTTTTGATTTCACTTTTTGAACTTCCAGTTCTCTGTGGACCACTATGGTCCAAAAATATTAAATGAAAAATTCTAGCAATAAACAATAAGTTTTAAATTGTGTGCTGTTCTGAGTAGTGAGATAAAATCTCCTGCTGTCCTGTTGTGTCCTATGAATGGTTCTTTTCATCAGGTGTATCCACACTGAATCCGCAGCCCCGTTAGCCACTTGGTAGTTCTCCGATTGGCTACCGTGATATGTAGGAGCAGTGTTCAGGTAACCCTTATTTTATTCAATATGTTCCCATAGGATAAACTCCCATTGCAGCATTTGCTCTACTTTCTTGTTATTGTCATTAATCTCTTAGTGTGCTTAATTTCTAGATTAAACTTTATCCTATGTAAATACGTATAGGAAAAACATAGTACACAAAGGGTTCAATAATATTCACAGTTTTAGGTCTCGACAGAGGGACTTGAAATGTAACCTCCACTGATCAGGAGGTGTCCTGGTTTGGGGGAACAATATAATACAGGACACGTATTTTATAATAGTCACCCAAAGAATCATATATAAGACAGTGCAGGAAGTCTGTCACACACTAAAGACCAAAGAATCCAGCTGAGGGCCTGGATCCCACGTACTGTCCTGCATGAGTTCAGCTGAAGACCTAGAGCCCATAACAGTGCCTCCTGTGAGTCTAGCTGGAGGCCTAGAGCCCAGGACAATGTCTCGTGCAGGCCTGTTTCCTGGATCTGCACTGGGAAGGCCTAAAGGTCAGTGGTGGA